ATTAAGAACAAACCAACTCCCAGTAAGAATGTTTTGTTTCACAGTTGAAATAGGTAAGCTAAAATACATGGGAGTTGGTACTGTTAACACCATTAAACTCACCAAGTGGCTTTTCTTCTCAGAAAAATTTTCTTTTGAATCACGGTCAAACTGAGTTTCTGGCAATTCTTAACAAACATGTGCATTGAGGCACCAACAGGTACAAAATTCTTCAACATGTGGTTGGCGCTCTCTGACCGTTGAGTACTTGTCATCATTGCACAGAATACACCTGCAAAATATAGCTTTGCCCATTTCTCTCGGAGCTCGTAGATCTGTGTCAACATTGGGTATTCCTGAAGACCATACTTGTGAATTAAATTGGCCCAAGCTGCTTCGAACTCTTCTACAGTGAGCATGTATTCCAATATCTTGTGTAGTTCATCCCTGAAATCTTTGTTCTGTGTATAGACAGGGCCAAGGAACTCATTTGCACGACGCAACACATGCCAGTTGCACCACCGGTGTTTCGTTCCCGGCAAAACTTCAGCAATAGCCAACTCCATTGCACGGCATTGGTCTGATATTATAGATATGGTCAGTACTTGAGAATGAAGGTACAAGAATTATTATATGTTTTGAGTTGCAACCATTGCACAAGTATTTACCTTTTAGGATAGTTACCGGTGCTTTGCCTCCCATCAATGACACAAATTCATTGAATACCCACTCGAATGATTCTTGCTTCTCGTTTCTCATCAAAACACCTCCCAATATAATGCTCTAAAAATTATGGTTTACCCCCACAAATAGGCCAAATGGCATATCGTACTGGTTTGTACGATATGTTGTGTCGAATGTGATTGCATCGCCAAACATTTTGTATTGGTATCTACTCCTTCCATTGGTCCACATAAGAGCCTGAATCTTGCTGTCACAGTCAACAAGAACACCGTCAGCAAACATTGGGTCATTCTTCTTAAGTTTAGAGAACAGCTGAACTGTTTTCCTGATGTCATCATCTGCAGTCTCTTGGTTCATCCTCTTGCACATGTACTTGAGAGATCTCTTGTTGAATGGTACACTCTCCATTGACCCAAAGAAGCTTGCGATGACACAAAAAACCTTGGTTATCCCAATGTTGTTGCTCCTCAAGTGCTTGACAATATCTTTGGTGTGTGTGTGTGTGTGTCAATGTTCCTGTGTGATGGCCAATGTAGTTTCTCGCCACATGATGATGACAAATGGTGGTTGTGTTCAGGTCTGAAATCGTGTATATACCATCCATTGTCCGCTGTGTGGTGTAGCCTGATCAAGGCTTGGCAGTTGCAGGCTACTGACTTTGTGTTTTCTTTCTTTGGCCTTCCGTGAAATTATAACGCGACTACAAGATTAGTATTTATATGGAATAACCAGCACTCATCGATAGAATCACTTGATGTTGTTTATACTCACCGCACAACCGCAAATGATGTCTTGAATGGTTCTGCTCTTCTGTGCATTTGTCCTAGATTGACCATATTGGATGCCAAAGCCAATCTCCCAAGAATAAAGATTGTAAAATTCAAATGCCTCTGCAAGTGATTCGAACTCTTTTCCAATCTCAGGGGCGACCACTTGTCCAGACTTCCTTTGAACAAAGTCACGCATTGCTTTTTCGAGCGCACGGACCCTTCCCTGTTTAGGCCGACGCCGATCTGGTATTTTCCCACGATGTATCTTGCAAAAAATTGAATGTAAACTTCTCAGGGAAAGCCTTAGTTCTGTGAATAAGCTTATCTGCATTTTCAAAATCTGTCACACCACATGATTGTTCACATATAAAACTAACCAGACAGCACCTACAGCAGTATTCAGTTACTGGAGTTCAGCACTAAATTATTAGATATGGTTACTAGATTATACGAGATATGCAGATAAGCTTATAGTGGTTCTATACTAAAAGTTCAGTATAGAATTCAGTTAATGAACTAGAAGCGGTGCCTAAATTCAGTCAAAATATATATGTCTCCTACAAGTACAGAACCGAAATTGGGATGAATCAGTACTCTTAAATAGCTTGAAGATTAACCCATCTCAGGAATTTCTTTGTAAATATAGCAGGAATTTATGTGTCATTTACACACAGTACAAGACAGAAAAACCAGTCCAGTATGCAAGTATGCAACTCCTTCAAATCCGAAACAAGAAAGCAATCCTCTTCTTCTTCTTGCTGGGTCCAACTGAGCTTTGGATCTTGGGAAGGGATGGAGGAGAAGCTGCCGCCGGATGGTATGTGAGATGAATCCTTGAAGAACAACGATTTGAATGGATTGCCAATGGGTTTGAGCATACCTTAGAAGGAGTTGGGTGAACGATTCCAGCGGAATATATAATATAATATCCTATATATATACATTTGTTTCTTCTATTTTTTTTGCATATTTTCTCATTTTCTATTGAATCGGATTCTAAAATCATTGCTTAAAGTGGAAACCCGCATAAAAGAGGACTCCAACATTTTTGCTTCTCACTTTGGGCAATTAGCAATAATCTTTCTATGGACGTCCGGAAATCTGTTTCATGTAGCTTGGCAAGGAAATTTTGAATCATGGATACAGGATCCTTTACACGTAAGACCTATTGCTCATGCGATTTGGGATCCTCATTTTGGTCAACCCGCTGTGGAAGCCTTTACTCGAGGAGGTGCTGCTGGTTCAGTGAATATTGCTTATTCTGGAGTTTATCAGTGGTGGTATACAATAGGATTATGCACCAATGAGGATCTGATCTATCCATGACCAGGATGAAGCTTGGATGAAACTAAGCAGAGGTTCGAACTGACTGATGTTGAAGAATCAGCGGATGAGTTGTGGTTAGGGGTGAAATGCCACTCGAACCCAGAGCTAGTTGGTTCTCCCCGAAATGCGTTGAGGCGCAGCAGTTGACTGGACATCTAGGGGTAAAGCACTGTTTCGGTGCGGGCTGCGCAAGCGGTACCAAATCGAGGCGAACTTTGAATACTAGATATGACCCAAGAATAACAGGGATCAAGGTCGGCCAGTGAGACGATGGGGATAAGCTTCATCGTCGAGAGGGAAACAACCCGGATCACCGGCTAAGGCCCCTAAATGACCGCTCAGTGATAAAGGAGGTGGGGGTGCAAAGACAACCAGGAGGTTTGCCTAGAAGCAGCCACCGAACCATCCGATGTAAAGACGATTTTTAGTGCTAGTTATCCAGTTGCAGAAGCGACCCCACAGCCTTGTACTTTCGCGTCTCTCTAAAATTGCAGTCATGGTAAGATCTTCGTTTATACAAATAAAATAATAAAATATAGTATTATCATATGATAATGGAATCTAATACGCAGTATTCACAGAAAAAAGTCTTCATTTATTGGGAAAGAATCAATATACTTTTAATGTCGAATCGGAATTCACCAGAAATAATGCATTGGGTCGAACTCTTCTTTGGTGTTAAGGTGGTAGCTGTGAATAGCCATCGACTACCTGGAAAAGGTACATCCCTGTCGGCGACTGCTCCATCGCCGGACGGCAGATCTTTTGCGGTTTTCTCGCCGAGCTCTCGGAGCTGCGGTTAGGAAGGAACTGGGGAGCCGATTCAAATTTCGAATGGTTTGCTCCTCCCACAAGGTGGGGTCGTGACCGCAGTACAGGTATGGGCCGCCGCTCGTCTCTGAATACGTACGGGAGGAATGGTCTCTGTATTCATTGCGTATTGGTTTGGAAAAGGATGCGAGGTGGGGTCGGAGTGAAATGCCACATGGGCTGCGGGTCCGGCTGGTGTGGATCCACACGCGCTCGCTAGCGGTTGGGATAGCCGCTGTGAACGGAGCGCGAAAGTAAAAGACGTTATCGCAAACAATTCGGTGGTGAGGTTTTTTTTGCAACTGGGGTCTTGTTTCAAAATATTTCTACAACACATCTTTTGTTTCAGAAAGAAAAGAAATATTTTGGCTGTGAAGGTTTTTTTCTTCAACAAGGGTCTTGTTTCGGAAACATAGCCCGAGCTGCAGCGCCGAAGGAGCGCCCGGCGTTAGAGAGTGAGTGGTCAGACATTGCAACATGAGGCATGTTTCAGAAACATAGCTCGGGTTGCAGAAAACGTCGAAGAAGCGTCGGGCGTGAGAGGTTGCCGCCGGCGTGCTGGATTGGAGCTAGCAGCTGCTCGCGGGGCTGAGATGGAGGAGGAGCAGCAACTCCGGCAAGCACGGCAAGGATTAGTTCCCCTCGCGCGCCGGCGGCAGCGATTTTGCGATGGTGGGGGCTGGCGCCGCGTTGGGCTCAGCTGTGTCAGGATGGCGGACAAGGAAATCTGTTTCCAAAAGTGAGCGGTTGTTGCAGGAAGTAAGAAGGTGGTCGCACATGCGGTGGTTAGATCCGGCGGCTGTCAGAACGCTGATCCAACGGAGCTCCATGTGGCGGATGTTTCTAATACACTCGTCGGTGGACGCGTAACAACTAGCGTGTTGCAATTCGTGACGCTCACGTGGGAAGATCTAACGGCATGAGAGGTGGTCGATCTTTCCCGAACTTCAACTGGCGTGTTGTGCTTTTTATGATGGTTGATGCCGATTAATTTAATAAATTGTTGATCCAGTCAAAATCATGAATTAAAGGCAAAATTGGATATCTTACCTGAATGAGAGTGCTTCTTAAGAAATCAATCCGGTGAAAATTGTGATCCAAGTTCAAAATAAAAACACCATAACTAAATGTAAGAGCTCCAAAATTAAGGCCAGGAAGCATCCGGGCCAGTACTGTCCAGGCTTGACGCGTGTTCACAACACTCAAACGCTCAAACTGAACTGTCGAGCTAGGCACCGATACGACAGGCTTCCAGGCAGCTAGGCCAGCAAGCACGCGCGGTGTCGGACATCCGATCCGACTCGGCTCACGACCGGACAGCCTTGCCGCTATATATTTCTCTCTCCCCGGCCAGCACGGACGCAATTTCGCAGATCGCACAGACCTTCCTCATTCATCACGCAGTACGAACGACCGGATCGGCCAATTCCCATGGCGGCCTCGAGTCCGGAGTGGTCGAGCCTCCTGCCGGATATCCTGGGCCAGGTGATCGCCCGCCTCCCACACATCGCCGACCGCGCCCGCTTCCGTGCCGTGTGCCGCTCGTGGCGCTCCGCCTTGCGCCTGCGAGACTCCCATCGGCGAGGGCTTCCGTGGGTTGTCCTTAACGACGGCGCCTACCTGACGCCCTCGGACAGCGGAATCCATCGCCTCCCACTTCCCGTGAACACAAGATGCATCGGCTCCACCAATGACTGGATCGTGCTCGACCGCATGGACGGTGTTACGCAAAAGCATACATACGCATTGCACAACCACTTCCTCGATGTCGCGGTGCCGTTGCCGGAGCTGAACTCCATAATTGGGAATCTTCCTGAGAAGTTTGAGATCCGGAAGGTTCTCATGCGGTCGACACCCGACGATCTCGTTGCGGTTACAAGCAACATCTGCAGGTATCCTTTCATCTTGTGCCGACCTGGTAAGGGAGCGTGGGTGGCGGAGCCATTAGCTATGCCGTACTTTCGTATCGTCGATTTTGCGTTCCTCGGAGATATGCTCTACGTGATCACCAAGGCCGAGAGCCTCTACGCCATCCACCTCACCGAACACGATGATGGCAAGCCCGATGTCTCCTTTGTCGAACGGATCACCAGGCACACCCCTTATCCTAATGGTGATAGGTACAATAATGACATGTGGATGGGTACAAGTGACAACGATGCGTCAAGCAGTGAGGATGAAGATGACAACCATGATGCGTTGAGTCAAGAAGAAGCCCCCGATGAATTGGTCGGTGATGCTAGTGACATTGACAATGACAATGACCGCTCCTCTGCCTACAATTGTACGTTGTCTGATTGTGAAGAGGTCGTGAACTCCAAAGGATGCAACTTACTCACGACTTATAGACACCTCGTTGAGTCCCGCGGTAAGTTGCTCATGGTTAAGCGGCAATGCTTACTCACGGCTTTCACTCCAAACCACCACACTCGCAAGGTCGAAGTCTTTGAGGCGGACGTGGACAAAGGCACATGGGTACCAGTGACCCGTGGGCTAGGTGGCGGTCATGCGATATTCATCAGTCATGGCTTCAACAATATAGTTGCTGCCTGTGGGGAAGTGAAAGAGGATGACATATATTTTCCCGACACGAACGATGTGTTTGACATGCAAACAGGGATTATTAGAACTTTAGGACCAATAAGTCGGTTAGACGCCTGTTGGAGGACGTGTGTTTTTCCACCGGACCTAGTTGTTTAACTTACCAGTAGTATGTGTCCAACCTATGTTGACTTGCCAATCTGGGAAATGTGATATTTGCTATCTCAAACTTTAGTACAACCTGCGACATCATTAGTCACTAGAACTATGAGAATCATGTTGTAGGTATATCAATCATCCTTCGGTCTATTTATGACGAGTTGGCTACCAGATCAGGTTCTCGTGGACATGCAGCAACAACCAAATTATGATGGACAAGCTAGCCAGCAATTTGTTTCGATCGCAAATATATATTCTTACTTTATTTGTGGAAAATGAGACAAGAAAGGTACTACAATGGCACAACAGATCGCAGGCAAGGCACTATAACAAGGATATTCCAACAACAAAATATCAAGTGCTCCGGACAAATATTCTATCCGCATGATTCTTCGGCGGTGCAACACATGCTTAATCAAAATGTCCCATTTTTTTACTAGTATGTTCAGCAGAAAAGGATTTTGACACCAATGCAATAATGCCTTCTTTTCGTACCAAGGAAGCTATGTTTCTTGACAGCAAGTTCATACTCAGCAAAGAACTAATAGCTGGACAAACAAACTGACAGTCAGAGGCCTTGAAAATATATATTATTGAAGCATTTTTTTTCAAAACGAAGACAAAAGATTTGCATCATCCATTAAATAAGGAGATAATAGAGTTTAGAGTTTTACAACACACCCACAAAAGTGGCATGACAATTACTCGCCCAACAACAAGTTCCCTAGTCTCTTAGCGCCCGCGGTAACCCAAAGCTTGGCCACGTCCAGGATGGTGGTAAGGATAATAGGCGGTGGCATGCACTTGTGGCGGAACACTCTAGCATTTCTTTCATTCCAAATTGTCCGAGAGACACGCATGGTGAGGGAGGCCATAGTATGCCAATTAGGATTGCTACTGTCGGTTCTCTTGTCCCACCACTCGTTGACAGTTTCATGAAGGTGCCACATGGATGTATCCATGCGGTATAAGCCAATCTTCTCGATGATGGCTTTCCAAAGCCTAATCGTGTAGCGGCACTTGAATAAAAGGTGAGTACCCGTTTCTTGCTCCCTTTTGCAAAGAGGGCAGAGGCCGCAATTTGGCCACCCACACCACTCCAAGCGACCGGGGGTCCAAATCCTATCTTGCAGTGCCAATCAAGCGAAGAATTTAACCTTAGGAGGATCCCAAACCTTTCAGACCATGCGATCCATGGGGGAGAGGGTCAAGCCAAGTAATTGAACCTATTGTTGAAGCATGATGTTTCAACGAAATTAAATTACTTTTTCCTTAATATAATATCGCAAATCGACGTGTACAGCTCGATGAGCAGGCGAAACCACCTTTGATTAGGATGTTGGACAGTGCTGCAAAGTTTTTCTCCTTTTGTTACAGACTTAAAGGCTAGAGCAATGTTTCGTTTGGGTCGGTTCGGAACTTCCGCCGGCGGCATGCCACGCATACTTCGCACGTCCATCAAAAGCACCGTATGTTTAGTAGGACTAGCAAATATATCCGTGCGCAACGGAAAAATAAACTCTCGCACACCCCTACTGAGCATGCCACTTTTCCTCTTTCTACCATCGTCCATGGTGGTCACTTGTCAACCTTTTTACGATAAAAGTGACAAGTCTCAAGGCAATGAGTTTGTCCATCACATTTTAGCTTGCACAAATTGTATAATACAAACATGGCCAATCAAAATTTATAACAGAAAACTCAAAATGAAATGAAGATCAGTCTCAAGACGGTGAGTTTGGTCAGGTTCCAAGCACCTTTACCGTGCATGTTATGTTGGCAACCTATTCAACGTTAATATGTCCATGCATGCCACTCCCTCAAATCACAATTTAGACATTCTGATTGCATGCGTTGGTAATAACTGCCTCAAAGGTTTCCCCGCGATGTACCAAGGTCACATCAAAGAGTCAACAATGATATTGTAAGCAGTGGCGTCACATGACCTGTGGATTTGGTATGCTTTCTTTGAAATGTATGGTTCTCAGAATGACATCAATGTGCTTCAGGGTTCTCTCGTGTTTAGTAGACTTTGTAATGGGGAATCACCGTCGTGCAACTACACTGTCAATAGCCGTGACTACAATATGGGGTACTATCTTGCTGATGGTATCTATCCACGGTGGACCACGTTTGTGAAGACCATGTATGAATCCCAAGGCAACAAACGAAGCCACTTTGCAACAATGCAAGAGGTAGCTAAGAAGGATGTGAAGAAGGCATTTGGAGCGCTCGAAGCTCATTGGGAATTGTTCGTAGAGCTGTAATGATGTGGAAATCAGAGACTTTGTGGTAGCTCATGACATGTAGTGTCATTTTGCACAATATGATTGTCAAAGATGAGGGTAATATGGTAGCCCAAACCAATGATTTTTGAGACACCCGAAGAACAAGTCCATATTCCGAAACAACAAGATACAATTCGGCTTATGAACTTTCTAGAGATGTATCAAAATCTTCAAAATCATCAGGTGCATGCGCAACTACTGAATGATCTCGTGGAGCATATGTGGACCTACAATGAAAACCAAAGTGCTAATATTTGAATTGTACACTTCAAATAAGTTTTATGTTTGAACTATGTATTTTTGCTACCAACATTTGTTAATTACCAGTGACATTTACACGTGCAATGGACGTGCATGGATTTGAGAGTTCGGATTTGAGGTGTGTGGCTGCCGGACACGATATATGAAGGGTTGTCCGGTACCGTCTACTGGCCTGCCCATGTGCGTGTCCGTAGACGTATAGGGGGTTAAATTTGCCGACTTTAACCGTTAACCGTAGATGCAACGAATCTGGTTAAAATGATTGTCACCGGAGAGGAGGTACCTTGGTGTCTAGTGAAATTTGAACACGTGGACCGGAGTGGAGGTACGCCGCCTGAACGGTCGACGAAACAGGCGCCCGATCGCCGGTCCAATAGTGAACCGACCTGTAGGCCCCGGACCAGAACCATGCACGTACACGCTCAGGGCCCGCCCGGCCTCCGAGTCGGAAGTCTATATAAGTTCCGACCCCCATCTTTCGGGGCGCACCCCACCAGACTAGCTAGATCACCTGACAAGACGCAGAGTAACCACCGGCGAGCGAGCGAGCGAGAGCGCCACGCGCTGACGACGATTGGCCAGGCGCAAAGCAGCCGTCGGCGGGCGAGCGGGAGCGCCACGCCGCTGACCCCGACTGAGACGCAGAGCAGCCGTCGGCGGACGAGCAAGAGCGCCACGCACATGGCGGACGGAGGCAACCGAAACGGCATGGTCTGGTTCAGCTGCCTGCCATGCGGCTGGCCCCCAGGCGACTACCAGCAGCGGGTGGTCAAGCTCCACTGGGCGAACTGTGAGGTGGCGCGGGCGGCGAAGAAGGCCGCACGGGAGGCAGCCGAGGCCGCCCACAATGCTCTGCAGGAGGCCGCCAATGGCGGCGGCAAGAAGACGAAGAAGCGCAAGAAAGCGCAGAAGGCCATCGGGTAGGACGCGCAGATCCATCCAAACGCAATTTCTTGGCCTTCGGATACGAGCTCGATGACGGATTGGTTAACGCAGGTTTAGGCTCAGAAAACAGAGTAACCAAATCTTTGATTCTTGATTAGTACTAGCAAAAATGCCCGTGCGTTGCAACGGGAAAAAAGAAATTGTCCCTCATCCACACCCCGATGACATCAAAATATCACTTGAAATCTTTCACGGTGCCACACCACAAACAACATGATAAGTGGTGTTGCACAAAAATATGAAGGTGGTATGATTTTTGAAGTGTAAGGACATGCATGCCAAATGTTCAAGGTTACATCAACATCGATATTCTTTAAAAAAAAATCTTTATGGGCAAAATTTCAAAGAATATGGAAATCAACACCAAGGCACTGGTTTACAAAAGCTCGAATCAACAGTTTAGTGTACATCATCATATGGGGTATGGTTATGGTGCACTGTTAAATATAGAGGATGCTTATGTGCCTGCTGTAACCTTCAGCATATAATAGCTTGTAGGAATCACCACCCCCTATGGCTCCAAAAATAGTTTTTATTGAAGTATCAAACTATCATATCTATGGGGTAGGAAACATATACAATAGGCATTTTTAAAATACCCCATGTAAAGAAGACATTGGTTAAGGTTTGGGCGCCCACCTGAATTTTTTTATCGAATGAAAAAGGAGAAAAAGGGTGGGAAGGGAGGATCAAACCTGGGTCTCCAAGGTGGAAGGGAGATGCTCTATCCGATGGCCTGCTTGACTCCTTATGTTATGTGGCCGGGTTGAACATAATTGAATCAAAGGTGACGGTCGCTTTGTGGATGGAAAAATGATTCATTTCTTCCTCACTTATGGGTGGCACGGTGAGTAATTTATGACAACTTTACAGGTAGTTTCAAGATGGAAGGACAGACAGAAACACTAATCCCTTTATTATTAGGTACATATAGCAAATATGACCTTGCGTTGCAAGAAAGAAAGATATCGCACTCCTCTAGCCAATAAACATCCACATCGATTTTTTTCTAAAACATGACACTGGTTTGGGAGAGTTAATCTAAAGCTTATATGTGGTTCTCAACCTTTTCCTGCTTCCTTTCTCCTTCGCCGGAATCCGGTGAGTTCTTAGCCTGAAGCTTATTGTTTTTGCTCCATTCAATTCCACCTTTTTAGGATCTTTCGTAGCAAGAAAAGTTTAGTTTACGATCGAGAATCGTCTATTTAGGAAAAAAATGTTCAATTCGGAATTCGGTCACTCTATAAATTTACATCGTCGATACAAAAAATTGTGATGTCTGTGAAAGAACAGATTATAATCTTCCTAAAAAAGGTGAGGTGCAAAGTGAGTAAAAGAATTGTCTTCTAACTAATTGTACAGTCGTGTATGTAGTGTAACCAGGGCTGTTTACAGTCGAAATTTCAGAGAGATTGAATTTCAGTCAATGTTTCTGCTCCTTTCCTATGAACTACTCCCTCCGTCACGAAACAAATGTAAGGCGTTTTTTTATACTATGATAGTGTT